TTTCTATGAATTCCAAAGAACGTAGCCCTAAAGATTGTTACCAGATCAACCAAATAATAAACACCTTGTGGTTAAGAACGTAAAATAGCAATTTACGTTCTCAGTAAAAAAAGAAAATGCGAAAAAGTTGAAAAGAGAATATACTGACATTCCAGTTGTCAATTTTGTAAATGCATACATCTTTTACAATTTGCATATTTTCTATAAAATCATTCTTGTATAAAATTGTTGAAAGGTAATTTTCCTGAAACCTATTATTAAAGAAAGCAATACGAAATCAAGACAAAAGTAGTGTTATTTGATAAATAAAAAGAAATGAGTACCAGTGGCGATTCGCAACCCTATTTGAACGATTTTATGATGCGAGACGATGAGGATGTTATCTCCGGCGGTAAATTTCAAGCGACAATACAAAATTCGTGTTTTACTAATAACTGTAGCATATTCCAATATATAATCTCTCCCAATTGCAGATGATGAATCGGATAATAAGCATAGCGGCGGCAGTTATATGCTCCGCGAACAGGATCGTTTCCTGCCTATTTGCAACATCATCAAGATCATGAAAGTACCAGTGCCGGAGAATGGCAAAATTGCCAAAGATGCACGCGAGTGCATACAGGAGTGCGTTTCTGAGTTTATTTCATTTATAACTTCAGAGGCAATAGAGCGTAGCATAGCGGAAAATCGAAAGACAGTGAATGGGGACGATTTACTTTATGCATTTGCCAATTTAGGTTTCGACAATTACGTAGAACCTCTGTCTATGTATTTACACAAATTTCGTGAGGTAAGCCGATGTGTTTTTAAATAGTATGCGGTCTAATATTTATTTAGTTTACTGTCTAGTCCACAAAATCGGATCGTAATTTATTTAATGAGCCCAATATGCTGCAAGACGATTCATCTACCGAATTTCGTAAGACCGAACTGCCGTAAAATATGATTACCTACCTATATCTATTTGTTTAATTTGTTACATTGGGTTAATAAAATATCAATATACTGTTAGCGGGACCACCACACATGAATACACAGTATATAAAAAACACGCATGTACTCACCATCTAGCACAACACATTCCCCTTTAATGGAATTGGCGAAAAATTTCAACAACAACGCACCTAACATTTACCAAAGCATCATTTACACCAACGAAAATTCCATATAATTACCATTTCCACAAAACTCTACTTCTAAATTGCGAATTTTTCTTAAATTAAGTTACTATAAAGAATATCCCATATTTCAATGTAAGCCAAATAAAAATGTGTGTAAAACTCATTTCCATTGTAAGTTTAATGTACAAAAAGACAAAATCTCTACAGCATCAGTTGCGGACAACAGTAACTCTACAATAATAACAAAAGCGGAAAGCACCACAACCGGAACATTGATGAAAAATTCAAGTGCAGTCATCAACGCTAGAACGACTTCAACTGGCACTGCAAGCACATACTCGAATGTAAAACTGTACGAGATAATCGACACCAACCAACAGCAACCGCAGCAGCAGCAGCAGCAGCAACAGCGCCCACAAAATGGTATACACAACTTATTACCCACCCATGGCATCACCATAACACCAACATCTGTATCAACATCAACCATACCCGTTAACCTAATGAGCAACGGTTGCACCCAAACAGTCAATGGCGTCAGCACTCTAAGCACAACATCAGCAACTGTACGTCGTTCAGCGCGACTACAAACGCGCACTCAACAACTGCCGGTAGTTACGACTGTGGCGAATGAAATGCCAGGTAGCATTATAAATTCAGATCAAGTGATATTCTTTGATGCTGATGAATTGCGCCAACACGTTTTGCAACAACAGCAGCAACAACTCAACAATAGTGGCGGCAATAGTTACGTGCATATGTAAGGAGTGATCGGAAAGTTTATTACTTGACGCGATCTTCTACAAAGGGTGAATTTTTTTGATGCAACGAATTTATTGCCTCAATTGCATTCCCAAGTTGAGGAAAATTATTGAAGTAGAAAAAACACTTTATTTCGCATGCAGTTTAACAAGTAAAAAACTTTATAAAAAATCAAAGGAACGGGGATTGGGATATAAACTTTTTCCAAAACTCTACTGCACCTAAAAGTGAATGATGTTAAAAACTTCAAATTTATAGCACTTATTTGTAATTGAACTGTAATTGCGAACTATTATCATTTTATTGTAATAAAATTTGCTATATACATATTTTGCAAAATATCCACTTCCAAAAGATTTTGTATTTTCTCAATCAGTACTGTCATATATGTGTTTTATAATTTTTATAACTTCAACAGTTTACTTTTTATGTACACTTGACTGGGTCGCCCCCACGCGAAATAAACCTTACGTCGCCCTTCTTAACAATTTCAACAACTATCCTTGATGCGACTACTACAATAACAACAACAACAAGTTTTCTTTATAATTTTTTCGTGGTCCAGTCTAGTCTAGACACTTCCATGATGGTGTCCATCATTAGCCCCCAACAAACTTTTATCTGATATGTCGTTAAGTAAATTCACAAGTTATTTATAGAAAAAATATTTATTAACCAATATGCATATATGTATGTATTTGTAGGTATATACATACATATATATGTGTATATAAAACGCACGCAACTAAACTACTTACGTCTACAGTTTGAGTAATAGTTATACAATTTATATATAGTTTTACAAAATGTTAGCCTAACCGACTATGATTTAGAAAAAAAAGATAATATTTAATTGGCTTACAGAAATAGTTTCAAGCATTAACCTTCCCTTCATACATAATTATCATACAATTTCAGAATATTAACACAATTCAGCTGAACCCTAACCTAGTAATAAGTAAAAAAAAAACTTAATTGTTACCAATTGGTAACAACTTAAATATAATATTAAAGCAATCGCTATTTATTTTGAATTTCTGTCAATACCTCAGTTATGTGTGCTTCTCCACCAGTACCTTGAATTTCTGTCAATATTTGCGTTATGGGTGCTTCTCCAGCAGTATTTTGAATTTCTGTCAAAACATCCGTTATGGGCGCTTCTCCAGCAATATTCACGCCACTAACATCCTTGACCTCATCGTCATCATCACCATCTACCGGCTGTGGTTCGAATACCACACGCCCACGTATGACACGTACGCGCGGTCCAATCGCACGCGAATTAAGTTCAAATTGGCCACAAGTAGCTGGACGCGTTGAACGATGCATACTCAATCCGCTAATACAGGAGAATTGTTTGTTGCAGCCATAACATTTGTAACGTTTCATGCCAATGTGACGCGATAGATGTGATATAAGCGTTTCACGGTGTGTAAAACTTTGTGAGCATATCTAAAAGAAAAAAATATGGTGTGAAGAATTTATTAAAAAGAATATGTATAGTTTCCACATTCTAAGTGTATGTACTCACTTCACAAACAAATGGGCGTTCGCCGGTATGCGTACGATGATGTACAGTGACTTGCCCGCGTGTGCGAAACCGTTTTTCGCAGTAGTTGCACTTGTGTGGCAGCACGCCCGTGTGTATGGTACGATGACAATTTAGTGTGCTGTTTGAAAAGAAACATTTATGGCATATATCACATTGGTGCTGTGGATTGCGCCCGCAATTGTTACTCAAATGCTCTTTAACCATTGATTGCGTCGAATAGCGTCGACCACACTTTGGACAGATGTAGCCTTCAGGCACCTTCTTGGGTTTACTACGAGCATTATTTCTGGTTATGTGTGGAGAGTGTGGCCGTTTTCGTAGTTCTGTAGTAAGTAAATGATTATTTAGTGGTGTTTATGATGTCAAAAAAGTAGGCACACAATGATGGTGTTTGTAATACCATTGAAAATGCCGAGCTTCATAAAAAAACTTTTAAGCTGCTACAATCTTAAGATTTTTTCCTCTTAAAAATAAATTTTTTTTAATAGTTACCTCCACTGCCATCCTCGGAATTTGTATTTTGCATGGTCGCCGTACTATTGCTGCCCATTGAATTGTCACTGAAATTCGCCGCATACACTGAATTCTCATTTTGTAGCACCAACATTTCCTCGTCTAATTCCTTTTTTATTTCAATAATTTCCATTTTTGCTGGTTCTTGCACTACTGCTTCTTCTAACTTTGAGTCAATTGGTTCACTGGTATTTATTTCTTCACGCACAATTGCTTCGTTCAATAATTCAGTCAAACTTAACTCCTTATTTGTTTTTGTAACAGATTCAAGTTTAGCGGCGGCAACCGTTTTATCTAAGGATGGCACTTCGACCTCCTTCTTTTGAAAGTAGCGATTAGGTGTTTCGAATTTTGGGATAGCTTCTTCGGCGCTTGCCGCAGTGTTAGGTGGCGAGTTAGATTTCACCAACTGTATTAAACGGAGTTGTGTCGTTGGCATCATTTTAACAATTTTAAAATTTGATGGCAATTTTATCATCTTTGGTGGCGAATCAAACTTTATAGGAACTGTTTCAGAATTTGTGGTATTTATGTTAACTTTAGATGGTGACTGAGGTGAAGTTTTGGGCGTAGTGGTAGGGCTGTTGAATTCACTGACTTTGTTTATTATTTGAAACATTTTTGGTACGCTTTTCAATGAGAATTTCGAGGTAATACGCTGTGCAAGTGCATGCCCTAATGTGCCGGGACCAGTTTGTTTTGCTGGTGCTAAAGTTGCTGGCTCGCTTTCGACTGGCAAAACACTCAGTGGTTGCTTACGTAGGCGCAGTTTTACTGGAGGCGCAGCCAAATCATTTTTACTCAACGTTGGAGTAGGTTGTACTACTTCATAATTTTCAAGGGGTTTTGTATTATTAGCCACTATAGGGAAATCTGGCAAAATTGTTTCATAATCTACAGGCTCTTGCTTGATTTCAATTGTTTGAGGTGTCTTTTGGGTAGGTATGTGTGGGGTGTTGATATTATTATTGGGCAATATTGGTTTTAAACGCAATTTCAAACCGGGGGGCGCCGTTTTGGAAGCTGAGGAAATTAAACAGTCCGAAAATTATTGGTATTCCCATTCTTGCGGATAGTTTTCAAGTACTACTTACCACATTTAATTTTGTATGAATTGTGTTTTGTCACTTTTTGTTTTTCTTTTAGTAGCTGTAGTATCTTTGCCGGTGTTTCTCTCTGTATGCATGCTAAACGGCCACACTCATCAGGCAAGGAAGTCCAATGTTCTTGTAGCTCTGCCATATTAATAAACCACTCACGACACAATGAACAGACAAAGCGGTGCAGTTTACTGTGCATTTTAACTTTATGTTGATTCAATTGATAGAAGTCGTGAAATTTATGATTGCAAACCTATAGGAGATAGAATTTTAGCTTCTTATGTGATAGTCATTGCTTAACTGCATGCAATAATAAAAAATCGACCTACATTGCATTTCAATTGCCTAATATCATGTTGGTCAAATTCATGTTGCTCACAATCCTCTAAAGATCCGAACCAAGTGTCACAGGTCTTTCTTACGCAAAACATACGATTCAACTTATGCTGGGCCATGTGGTGTGCGTAATGTGTATCTTGAAAAGAGCGTTTCATGCAAAGTTTACAGATGATGGATTTCCGGGTTCTTCGATTACGTTTCGCTATATACTGCGGTAAGGAAAAAATATAATGGAATTACTTCTAGTGTATGCACATTTTTTACTACAAACAATTAAACTTACATCAGCTTGGTAATTGGCTTGCAACTTTTGCAAAAAGGCTAACTCATGATTTTGTTCTATCGAGTCGGAGGCGCTTACAGTTATCATGTTTTCATGCTCCTGCACCACTTGAAAATCTGCACCTATGTAATTTGAAGGTTCCTGAGGTTTGGTTGTTTCAGAAAGCTGTTCGGAAATGTTAAAACTATCGGCGGGGGCATACGCGAAATCATCTTCAGGTTCAGCTATAGGACAAGTCAAATATTAGAGGTGTAAAAAGATATCACACAAGCGCTTCTTGAATTAGTAAAGTGGTGAAACATCATTTTTCGATTTGAAAAAAATTTGAAATTTTTAGATATAAAAATATGTGCGCATACAGTCAGTCAATAAAGTTTAGGTACAGCGAATGTTTTACAAGACGGGCAACTATTTTTTTAATATTTTATTTTTCGATAATTTTTTATAAAAATATGGTTAATACTACAACAAAAAACAAAAAAATTAGAGTTCCAAACCTTGTGCAAATTTGAATGAAATTTTGCAGAATTTTCTTTAATTTTGCACAAGGTTTGGAGCTTTGAATTTTGGGGGTTTTGTTGTAGAATTAACCATATTTTTATAAAAAATTAGCGAAAAGTAAAATATTTAAAAAATAGTTGCCCATATTGTAAAAAATTCGCTGTACCTAAACTTTATTGACTGACTGTATGTATTTACAAAACTGCAACTATTTTAAAAATTTGTTAGATTTCGCGAGTCGGACATTAAGTTAGGTATGTATTGGCGATTCAACTTTTATAGTATGTATGCACGAGTATATTCCAAATACAAATAAAAGTTAGTATTCGATTACGTTATAAAATTTTGCTATACTATTCATATGTATGTGAATGTGTGTAAAATAAAAGGTGCAATCCCGTATTCCTCGGACTCCGACTAGTAAAACTGTCAAAAAATAAAAATTCGCTCAGAGCGAGAGTAACATTGAAAAGTACGGGATCGCTTTCTAGTAAAAAATGGTAACTTCTGTCAACTTCAACATAACCTCCAAATTTTGGTTGTAAATTTTTGTTTATTTTGTAGGTAAACACACTCAGCTCACACATGTAAATAACCAAAAATACTTTCAAATTCATTAGAATCCAATTAAACAAGTAACTAAATACTTTTCAACATGAATCAGCGGAGTGCACTTTTTTTGTTTACAATTTGTTTGCCAAACACACTATAGCTGATCGTTTCACACATTTTCCAGAATTTACCAGCAAAAAATTCTCGGACTAAAACTGGTAACTTCTGACAGAGAGAGAACCGTAATTATTCTCTTTTTTGTCCTCTCAATAGTCAGAGAACCGAGTACGGGATCGATTTCCAGTAAAATCTGACTGATTCTGACTAGTCCGGACTCGTACGGGATCGCAACTAAACTTGAGCGTAGCATACCATAAATTTTTCAAAACTAACAAAATCAGGTGCGTTCCCTAACTCGCAAAGAAGTTGCGATAATTTACAGGATTTTACCAGAGAGCGTTCCCTTTCCCCGTTGCAAGATTATAACCGAAGAACTGGCAAACTACCAGCTGTTCAAATGTTTTCAAATTTGAATTAGCAAAAACAAAAGTGCACCTGCATTTTCACCCTATTAAATATACCCTAGCGAAGAAATATCAAGTTTTGTAAGTATTTTTGTTAATTTGCTGGTGTATTTGAGCAAAATTTAGAAGATCGACAAATGATAAAAAATTGCTATGTAAACCAAAAATGGCGTCCACGGTGTATTTGACAGATTTACCAGTTTTCACCCGAAAACGTTCCCGCACTTTTTGGGTTTTCTCTCTTTCTCTGAGAGCAGTTTCAGTTTTTGACAGTTTTACAGGTTTTATCCAGAAAAATTGAGGAACGAAACTATTAATATTACATATATTTGGCAACCCTCAAATGACAAAAAGCAACAGCAAACATGGCAACACAGACGCACTCACGATGCTTGCAGTGAAATAACACCGCAAAATACAAAATAATCAAGATCAATTTCTTAACAGCTGCAAGGAATCACATATGAAGGGCTTGCAAGTATGTTTCAGCTAAAGTAGATACAAATGTTTACTAATCCCACTACCTACCTTTTATTTGTACGTCTTCGACCATGTTCGCACTCCCCGCCACCATTTTCTGCGTATTAAAATCATAACCATTATTGTAGTTTTCAGCATACGTATAAACATTAGGTTCCACTTTTATTGTTACATTGGATGGAAATTTAGTAGCAGCATCAGCAGTGCTACCAAAATCATAACATGCCCCTCTGCCTACACCAACGGCAAAACCTTTATTGCTTCTGCTGCTGCCAATTGTGGCGGCGTCAGCATCGAATTCACCCATTTCCGCAGCGTAGATTATCTCTAGCGGTTCTTGTTTTATTTGCACCGTCTCTGCAGCCATTACCGTTAATATATGCACTATTCCAAACTTATACAGGAATACTCAATGCACTAACTATATTAATGTTATACACAAATGCACATTACAAAACAACAATAGTCGAATTTATCTACAAAATTTTACGGTGAAGCTTTTGTCTGCATACAATTTAAAACCGCGAGAAATTACCGAGCTGCACGAGCGATCAACCAAATGTCAACTTGAAACGTCAAAAGTGAGGTATGCAGCCAGTAGAGCGGGATTTTTTGTAAATGCCAGGGAAATTATTTGCTGTAGAGGATTGATGCCCAGCGTTGCCGTTTTGGTCCAATTGGACCAAAATTGGTAGCTTCATTCTCCTCAAAAATTCAAAAATGTTTTGAAAATTCAATCGAACTTATCATTAAAATTTGTTCACTTTGCGTTTACATGTTGAAAACATTGCTTTCACTTTGCTCACACGTATAAGTTTTTTTTTGTTTTTTCTAAATTTTACTAAGCACATCATTTTCGAGAAACAAAAACTCACTTCCCAAAGCTAT